TTTTGTTAGGGTACTCCAGCAAGGTGCCAGCTCCAGAAGGAGCCTCAATTCACCCAAATGAAGAAAATGATGAAACTCATTTTAAAAACTCAATGAGTTGGATCCTATTGGGATTTGAGTCTGTGTGAGTCTGCTTCTCAAAAAATAGAAAAGTGAATTTTCATAAAAAAATATGACTTTTTAATGATAAGACTCGTTGAGTCAACTCAGGATATGGCAAGTCAACTTGCCCTCAGTACTGGCAAGTCCAAGTTTAAAGGCATTTGTATTTTTTTTTCCATGAAAATAATGTTGAGATATTAGTTGACTACTGACCGCAAATAGTTGGGATAAGGCTCGGATAATGTTGATGAAATTGATGTTGAGATAGTTTGGGTATATATTGTTGGAACAAGGTTAGATTGAACTAACTTTGGCCTACACTGTAAAGCACTTCCTTCTATAGCAATAAAAGACATTTGTTAGATGGTCCTAGCTTAGTTCCTTCTTTTCTTTGTCGTTTTTTTTTTTTGGTAATTTCCTGGGGTTTTATTTTTCATTTTTCCACTAATATATTGTCTACATATTATTTTTAGGAGACAAGTTGGGTCTGTTTTAGAGAATGTGCTTGTTGATATATATATATATGGTTTTGTTAGCGTACTCCTACACATGACGTATTTTCTTAATATACTCTATATTTTTGGACACTCATTACCCTTGTTTTGTATTACAAATTTGTTTTCTATAAAGGACATTTTTGTCATTAGCAGGGGTAGAATAGATATTCTTATTAAAAACTAGTGGCTATGTATTAGTGGTTAAAGGGCAATTAGTGCTCCATGAGGATGATGTCACACCTCTTCTGGATGATGTCATTCTCTTTTCAGGGTAAAGTAGAATTTCTTGATACAAAAAAAGTCATTTATTAACTATAATGGAGAATAACATCATTCACATAGAGCACTAATTGTTTTCTAACCTATTTTTAATAGGAATAACTATTCTACCCCGACTAATGATGAAAATGCCCTTCAAAAAAAATTGTATTACAAAACAAGGGTAATGAGTGTCCAATGAATGTTAGGTATACTAAGTGAATACTCCATGTGTAGGAGTACCCTGACAAAACCCATATATTACTCATGAGAAATTATATGGGGGGTTTGTGTGTGTGGTTTATTCTTGTAAGATGTTTTTTAGAGATTTTTTTACCCATGAGAAATTATATGGAAACCCAACATTTGACTTCACCCAGCATGTTAAAATATTTGAGAAAGGCTGTAAAGTTTGGTGTCCATATAGTTTCCTAGGTTTTCCGAACAATCACACTGTTTATAGTGCCAAAATGCTCTTTATGCGGTGTTTCATGGACTTATGCTTCTTGGAATAAAATTCCAATACCGTTCCATTGGTTTCTGGATTTTAGTGAAAAAAATTAAGTAAAATATTAGTTGTTTTCTAAGTTCAGGTTTAGAGATTTGTTAAAACTCATGAGAAATTATATGGAAACCCAATTTTGAAGTCACTCAGCAAGTTAAAATATTTTAGAAAGGCTGTAAAGTTTGGCGTCCATAGTTTCCTAGGTTTTTTCCAACAATCACACTGCTTATAGTGCCAAATTTCTCTTATGTGGTATTTCATGAACTTCTGCTTCTTGGAATAAGACTCCAATACTGCTCCATTGTTTTCTGGATTTTACTGCAAATAAAATTAAGTAAAATATTGGTTGTTTTCTAAGTTCGGGTATTGGCAAATAAATGAGATGTTACAATACAAAATAAAAACAAAAAAGTGTTTTGGTATTGAGAATTGATGAGTTGTGACTTACCAATGAAGGAAAGAAATTTAATATCCAAAAAGAAAAAATTGTGACGATCAAAGAATAAGAGAAGTTTGGATATTGGAATTCAATTAAGTGGATTATCAAAGAAAGAGGAAAATTTTTGGTGTTGAATTCCATATATTTTCATGTGTTGCAGAGGCTGCTCAAGAGTGCAAAAGTGTTCTCGATGCTGTTGAGAAGATATTCCCCCATGGAATACCTGAGATCTTACTAGACAACAAATTGCAGGAGACAGTTAGCAAGGCAGTCGAGCTCCTACCTGATCTATGGAAGCAAGCTGGCTCCCACCAAGAGGCGGCATCCTCTTATAGGCGTGCCCTACTTAGCCAATGGAACCTCGATAGCGAGTGCTGTGCTCGAATTCAAAAAGCTTTCGCCGTATTCTTGTTATATGGGGGTGTTGAGGCAGGCCCACCAAGCTTAGCTTACCAAACGGATGGCTCATTTGTTCCTAAGAATAACTTAGAGGAGGCTATCTTACTCTTAATGATACTCTTAAGAAAGAGTTTTCTTGGAAAGACTGAGTGGGATCCATCTATAATGCAACACTTTACATTTGCTCTCTCTCTATGTGGGCAGACCTCAATTTTAGCTAAGCACATAGAGGAGGTTCTACCCGGGATATATCCTCGGTGTGAGAGATGGAACGATTTGGCCCTTTGTTACTTGGGTTCTGGACAAAGCAAGGTAGCATTAAATCTGTTAAGGAAATCTCTTAACAAGAATGAGAACCCCAATAACCTTTTGGCATTGTTAATGGCTGCAAAGGCTTGCAGTGAGGACTGCTTGCTCGCTTCTGAGGGGGTGGGGTATGCAGAGAGAGCCATTGCAATCTCTAAGGGAAGAAACCGAAGGCATATGAAGGGAGCGTATCTTCGATTATTGGGCAAATGCTTGGGCAAGCAAGCAAGAGTTGCTTCCTCTGATCATGAAAGAACCCGTTTGCAAGCTGAGGCTTTGAAGGCTTTGGATAAAGCAATTCAATTCGAGAGGAACAACCCAGAGTTTATTCTTGATTTGGGGCTTGAATATGCAGAACATCGAAATTCTAGTGGTGCAGTGAGGTGTGCAAAGGAATTTATTGATGCTACAGGGGGTTCAGTGTTGAAGGGGTGGAGATTTTTGGCCTTAGTTTTGAGTGCTCAGAGGAGGTATCCTGAAGCTGAAGTGGTTATAGATGCAGCATTGGATGAAACTGGGAAGTGGGAACAAGGGGCTTTGCTTAGAATGAAGGCGAAGCTTAAGATTGCGCAGTCTTTGACCATGGATGCAGTTGAGACTTATCGGCTCCTCCTTGCTCTGGTTCAGGCTCAAAGAAAGTCCTTTGGACCTATGAGAACATTTAATCAGGTTAGTTTTGCTTCTAATCTTGATCTGGTTTCCTCTGAATTGATGGCCTTTTGAGTTCAATGGATTCTGTGGACTGTTTTTTAGGGATTGATAGTGGGTATACTTGTTTCTTGATTGGTGATGAAACTGAAATACAAGACAAATGTGTGTGTGTGTGTGTGTGTGTGAGAGAGAGAGAGAGAGGAGGAGAGAGAGAGAGATGCGTGTGCAACATGGCTTCGTCCTCTCTTATATGGGACTATATAATTCTTGAAGGTTGGTTTACGGGATTGAGATTGATATCTGGCCTTTTTGTTCTTGGGGAGACAAATCTTGGAGAGAGTTTCTATATGGGGTACATGGGACCCCACACTGCTATTGGACCACATTGTACACTTACTACCTTGGGATAAGGACCTAACTAGGAGAGTTTTTATCGATCTAAAATTTTGAGATCCACTTGAAAATCACCAGATGAGTATTTTCAAAGAAAAAAAAGTTTGAGTTCCCAAACACTTTAATCTGTTTGTAAATTGGATGGTCTTTGTTCAATATTAGGGCGATAAAGAGTAATTATGAGTTCCCTCCCCTCTTTTTTGTGAAGTTGTTGTTGGGGTTATATCCACAAAAATTAGGGTCCTAAAAATTCTTCTGGATAGGGTTTTAAACGGGGGAATAAATATATCATATGCTTTAGTGGGATCATATAATTTCTTTGCTCCATACTTACATACAAGAAATGCCTTCCGTCAAACAGAAAACCAGGAATGACTTGGTATAGTGAGATCCTGTATTTGGCAAACCTATCTTCTGTTTGGAACATTCCAGGTGGATGTCCACCCCAATATTGAAACTTTTTGAAATTTCAAGAAAGATTATGGTAATTCTGGTATGTCTGTGAAAAGTTATAAACTCTATGAGTGCCCATTAATAATTAGAGAATGTGGAGAACTTTTATCTTATTCTATTGTGATGAAGAATGATGATTTCTTCTTGATGAGCTGTCCATTATCCAGGCTTGCTAATGGTAGGGTTAGCTTATCTTGTGTTTATGTTGGCATGATACCTATATTTATCTTTAGCATGTTTGGTTATCTTGGATTTCGGTGTTCTAATTGGCTATTTGTCTGGTAAAAGCAATTTAGATTCAGTGACAACCAATATGAATTCATTTTTCTTTCTTTTTGCATTTGTTTTGTTTCAATAAGAAATTCCCAAGTCCATGTATATAGTTTTTGCAAGAAGTTGCTTGCCTTTTAAGTTCCTATAGTTTCAATTCTTTTTGTTCTCTTTCTTTTATTTTTTATCCTAACCATGTATTTTCTCCCTCTCATGTTCAGGCCGAAGAGGAGAATGTTAACGAATACGAAGTCTGGCAAGACCTTGCAAACCTCTACTCGAGCCTCTCACATTGGAGTGATGCTGAGACATGTTTGGACAAGGCACGAGCCCTAAAGTTCTACTCTGCGTCCACTTTTCACACAGAAGGTAAAGACCCCCAAGTTTTCTTATTCTATAGAACATACCCCCATAGAAAAAATGCTCATATAGAAAGCAGAGAGAGAAGATTTTAGTGCATGCCATGATGCCAAAGAAGAAATTAGAGTGAGAGGCTCGTTAAAAAAGAGACAAACAGAGAGAGAGACTTGAGAGGCTTGTTGACATTTAGTGTGCTTTTGCTAGGAATGATATACGAGGCTCGTGGGCAAATTCGAGACGCGTTAGCGGCCTATAGCAATTCTCTCTCTATAGACTTGAATCATGTGCCGTGCAAGGTTTCTATTGGGGCCTTGCTGTGGAGAAGCGGATCAATGTCCTTGCCCGTTGCGAGGAGCTTTCTCTCTGACGCCTTAAGGCTTGAACCCACAAACCGAATGGCTTGGTATTATTTGGGAATGGTCCATAGAGATGATGGGAGGCTATCTGATGCTTCCGAGTGTTTCCAAGCGGCTTGTATGCTTGAGGAATCGGACCCCATTGAGAGTTTCAGTGTAATCCAGAGGTGAATGTTCTGTTCTCTCTCTAGAAATATATGATTTATTGGTTTGCATTTGAGCTGCAAGGGCTGCTCAAATGGTGTAAGAGTATGTAGATTTTATTGATTTCACAAGACGACGTCTTGTGAGGCCATTTCACTTATACAACGACGTCCTGAAGCATCCATGGATTGAGGTTCCTTTCCCCTTTTTGTAAAATAGATGTTATTGTCTACGTTGCAATGAGTGTGTATATTGTACTGCTGCTGCTGGAGCACAGTTTAGACTTACTCCCTTGGGCAAATGCTACTTAGGATAATATTTTTGAAAAATAAAAATTTTGATTGAGTTTTTAAACACCTTGTATCTGAATTTCAAAAATTTGGATATTTTATGTTCAATCTAAGGACGAAACTTTCGGCAGGTAACAAGAGTATATGCATTGTTCAATTTTTTATTTTATTTTATATGTTGATCACATTGTAGTGGCAGTTACATTCCTGATATATGAGGGCCCTAAAAGCAGTTGCATCCCCAATATATGGGGGTCCTGAAAGTATTCCTTTGGCTGGAGATCAATTGGTGGGGTCCACCACCCACCCTAACATCAAAAAAAAAAAAACTTCTCTCACCTGTGGAACCATATAATCTTTTGGCCTAGAAAATTCTTCTTGGTTTGTACTGCAACTATCTGGATCTAGTTTTCTGAGGTGACCACTTGGGGAGCTGTACCACCCAATCTGGTACCTCTCTCTCTCTCTCTTCTAGTTGATTCGAGTTATCAATGGTCTCTCTCTTTATATTTGGAAGTTAGCTTGAGATGCCGTAGGAATGGAACTCTAGATATTATGTTATGCCATCTATTGTGATGCCTTGGCACTATGTTGACCAAGACTAGAGGTCATCCTTAAAACTCTATGTCTCTCTCCTTGACGATTCATAGATCTTCCGAGATCGATGAACCATTTAAGTGAGGTGTAAGCTGCGAAAAGTAGCTCCCTCTCTCTCTATCCCTTGTACTTGAAGTTTTGGAGGTCCATGGTAAGATGGAGTCCTACAGTTAATTGTGCCACGCCAACGATCAACCCATATATGCCTTGGCTCTCTCCCTCCTTCCCATAGAACTTGTACGGCTGCGTGACCCCCACCTAGGAATTGGACGTGCCTGTAGGCTTTGTGATGCCCTGGCACCATTAATCATGATACTTGTTTATTCCAAGTTGGAAAAACTTGACGTAAGGCTTAGGCCTTGTAGAATAAAAAGGTAAAGCCGCACCTCTAGAACCCGATGTAAAAAAGTTGTATCCATGGTGGAAAACTATCTCGACCTCAATAATTATAGAATTAGAAAAGAAAATGGATTCCGACCCCAAAGATAGTGCATCTGGTATATGTGTTATTTGAGTCATCTATTTCCAATGTTTGTAGTTATGTTAAGTATGCACTTTTTGTGGAGATTCAAATTTCATAATCAAAGGTAAAAATAGATTTTCAA